GAGGATGACTGTAGCTGTTGGCCACAGTTGAGTCATTAATCCATTTTTATTCCGTCCATCTTTCCACCAGTTGTTCGCTGGTTGCAGCCTCAGTAGAGTCAGAACTGTTTTCTCTGTTTTCTACAGTTGTCGGCTGAATATCTTTTAGCGTTGAACACGATCAGTCGTCAACTGGAGCTTTTAACAAACGTTTTTTTATCACTGTGTGATGCTTCACAGATCACCACATTAACTCACATCAGAGCTGCAACATTTTACTGATTAGGTGTTAACTGTTCAATTAATTGCCAGCTATTTTGATGATGAAGTGATCAGGTTGAGTAATTATTTAAAAAAATTAAAGTCTAATTTCTCAGGCTTTTATCTTCTGGTTGTGCATCCTGGACTTTTTCAAACACACATCGACACGTTTCACCATTTTGTGACATTATACAGACAAAACTAATCAATCGGTTGGGTAACTGCAGACTATTACATTAATAACAAGCTGTTTTAAACATCGATAAATCAGTTTAAGTAATTGTTTTAAGAGAAAATGTTTGATTGAAGATTCTCAAATGTGAACATTTTCTGGTTTCTTTCCTCTGTGACAGTAAACTGAACATCTTTGAACAAAACAAGACGTTTGTCATCTCCGGCTTCAGAAAATCCCCATTTTCTGACATTTAATAAATCAAACTTCTCATCAATCAGTTGAGTAATTGCCAACTATTGCTTTAATCGCAAACAGTTTTCAGATGATTTCAGTAATCTTTAAGAAAACGTGTCGAGGTTCTCTGCATGCTGCTTCTTAAAGGTGAATCTTTTCTGGTTTCTTTCATCCTCTGTGACTAGAAGCTACATATTCTGGGCATTTGTCATCTTGTGATTTGGGAAACAGACATTTTTAATGAATTATTTTGAGCTTGTTTTTTGTTTTTTTTTAAGAGAAGAAAAGAAAAATCTTCTTATTGGAGTTTCTTAAACGTGAATATTTGCTGGTTTCTTTCCTCCTCTGTGACTGGAAGCTGAAGATATTTCTCATCTTGGACTTTGGAAAATGCTGACTGACATTTTTTACAATTTTCTTGACTTTATATAAACCAAACATTGCATTTTTAAATTAAGAAAACAACCGATAGGTCATTTGAAAAGAAAAATTTCCTATTGCAGCTTCTTAAATGTGAATATTTTCTGGTTTCTTTCCTCCTTAGCGACAGCAAACTGAATATTCTCGATTGTGGACAAAACATTTGTCATCTTGCAATTTGGGAAACGCTGATATTTATGATTAATCTATTTGATTTTAAAGAAAAAGGCAAAATCTTGTGATTGCAGCTCCTTAAATGTGAATAATTTCTGGTTTCTTTCCTCCTCTGTGGCTGGAAGCTGAATATATTTGGACTTTTGTAAACGCTAATTGACATTTTCTGACCAAACGTTGATGTTTAATGGAGGAACCCATGGACAGGTCCGTCTGTGCTGCTGATATCTGCTGATATTTGCTGTCTGCAGGTCTAAACTGCAGCAGAGTCACTTCACATGATGTTTACGCGGCTGGAACATGATCCCAAACCTTGTGCCAAACCTCGCTAATGTTCATCCCGCTGCCTGCCTGCTTTCAAACTCTCCTGTAAAGCCTCCAGAGGATTTGAGGCTGCAGCAGATTAAAGGACGCACATGTGTGTGTGTGTTCGCCGTCCACATACTTGTGACTCAGAGCAGCGGCCCGGTTTGACCGCGGTCCCGGTTCTGTTTGGTTCGCCCACTCCTCTCTCCCTCCTCTCCCACCAGCTCTCCTCCTCCTCTTCTTCTTCTTCTCTCCATCTCACCCACTCTCCGCTTTCTTTCTCTCCTCTGCCTCTCTTATCCCTCCCCCATCTGTGGGAAGCCGCCGTTGTGCGCATGTCGCCAATGAGTCAATTTGTGGAGGCAGTGCGCGCGCACACACACACACGCACACACACGCACATACACTCGCGCATCCCGTCTCCCACGGAGGCATCTGCTTCGGTCTGTCTCTCCGCGAGATGCAGCACCAACAGAGGCGAGAGGGAGGGAGGGAGGAATAACAAGACAACAAAGTGCGGACAGCGGACGGGAGGACCAGAGGATGCTGCTGCTCGCCACTTCTGAGGAGTTTGGACTGAGTGAGATGCAGCGTCGCAGCGTCTGAGCATCCGAAGCCATGGCGAGCGCTCAGCCGGGGGTCCACGCTCTCAAACTCCAGCCGCCCTCCGTCTCCCAGACGCTGAGGAACGGCAGCAACTTCATCAAATGGGACGAGGTAGGAACTGCGCGTCAGGCGCTAAAGTGTTGAGTTGGAACCTGAGCGGGAAGGAGGGAAACGTGCCATGTTGTCAGATGTGTTTACTATTGGTTCGCTGATGGAGCTTTGGCAGCCAGAACCTGTGGATGCGACGCCAGTGAAGACTCGGCTTGTGCGTGTTGCCACCTGTTGGTGTCCAACCCATCGGTGTGTGCGCGCCTCGCTCCATCACTGTGGGTAGAGTTGTGTGTCCCTGTGTGTGTGTGTATGTGTGTGTGTGTGTTGGTATGCTGAAGTACAGAGCTCTGACAATGGGAAACGTGCTGTCCGGTTGCTATGGTAACTGGCATGGTTACCAACCACCTAAACAGATCAGATGTGGACGTTTGTGTGTAAATCAATGAGCCGAACAAACGGCATGAATCACACTTTGTGGAGGGGAAGAACTAATCCGGCGTTCTGCTGGCCTCCAGCTCTGTGTGTGTCTTCATGTTTGAATTTCCAGAGCTGAGCTGTGGAAAAATAGAACCGGTTGCCATGGCGACGGGTGACAACCAGAGATGTGGTCGAGCTTCTTCTTCTTCTTCTTCCAGTAGTTTTTTACTCCTGTGAGCGTGTTAAGGTGAGCCGCTCAGACAGTTTGACCTTTTCCAAAAAACATGCAGGAGAACGTGCAGAACTTCGTGCAGCTTCAGAGTACCGAGAAACAGCAGCTCAGTCTGGTCCTGATGCTGCAACAAGGTGTTCAAGGGAGAACACAGAACAGCACAGCACATCCAGTGACCAACTGATCCTGACAAAACAGAGAATGATTCTGTAGAAATTCTGAGATTTGAGAGAGATTATTATCATTAAAAATTGTTCAGAAAGTTTTTTTTAAATGCATTTGTTTTTGTATGTAAATACAGAATTTGGCTTATTAGTGAAACATAGGGATGTCCTGATCTGATGGAGGTGTTTAACTGATTGGTTTTGGTGCAACTTCAGTCGGTCACGCAGGTGTTGTCAAGGCAGAGCTCAATTTTCAGCAGTATTATCAATACAAATATTTAATTATTCACCAAACACATAATTCAGGCTCCAATGACAGCTCTGTTGAAGAAAAGCTCTGGTTGGAGGTCATGAACCTCCTCAGAGTCTCTGTCATGGTCCCATTGCTGCTAAACTCCCATGATGCTCTCTGCTGCCATCATGAACTCTGGTTTCTACAGTCCAGTGCTGCCCACTTCATGTCACACCGCTTCATAGAATTTCCCGTTTATAATTATAAAATATCAACGTCCTGAATCATTTCCTATATAACCTATAGCACAGAGATCACCAGCTCCGGTCCTTGTGAGCTCCTGTCCTGCAGGTTTTAGACGTTAATGCAACACACCGGACTCACATTAATGGATCATTAACAGACTTGTGTAGAACTTGACAACAAGCTGTTGGAGATCCATGAATGTGAGTCAGGTGTGCTGCAGTAACGTCTAAAACCTGCAGGACAGGAGCTCACAAGGATCGGAGTTGGAGATCCCTGCTATAGTAAAACAGCCCGTGTATTGTCATAGAATAATGTCATAGTCCCGGTTTTTGTCATAACGAAATTCCCTGAAATTGATTCCAGGAATAACTTTTGTCCGTTAAAAGTCCTGGTCGGCCGATCGGTCCGGCTCATGGGCCGAGCGTCGGTCATGCGTCTCAGATTATCAGCCCGGTCAGCCAAAGAAGGCAACGTGTTGGTTTGATTGTTAATTAGCGGCTCATGGACGTCTTTGTGCCGCCTGCTGATGGACATTTTGTGTTGAGGGACATTTTAATATTCCTTCCTTCAATACTTTATTTCCCAAATACATCTAAATACAGGCCGTGTAGATGGTGCCGGTTCAGTACATCGGCTAGTTTTCACACCCAAACTCACAGAAGCCATCTTGAAGCCCACCTATTGGAACATCCTGGATACAGTCTTAACTCCATCCTGGACTGAGGGTTTGACAATAAACGGGCAGTGCTGTGTTAAACAGTAAGAGGCTCCACCTGGTGGAACAACCAGGTACTACAGCTGGTCTACGATGTGTTTACTGACATCGTGTAGAGAAAACAGGTTTTTCCCTCACAGCAAGGTTTCTGAACAACATTAAGGAACAGCAGAACTTTTCGCAGTTTTTTATTTTTAAATTGACTGATAGGTACAAATGATCAGAATGAGCGACTGGTTTGTTTGACTAAATCAGTCCGATGTTACAACTTGGTGAGCCGGTGTGCTCGAGGCGTCATAGATTTGCTCACTATAGAGGAAGCGACATCGTGCAGGACAGGCGGGGACTAGTTTAATGGAAATAAACGTCTAAATATGTAACTTCAAATAATCAATGACCACAAAGGGAGTTTAAGGTCGTCGGAAACTTTGAGCCATTTAGAATGAGCTAACGATGTCCTGTTCAGTTATTTAAATATGGATGTTTTTTAAAATTATTATTACTGTGTATAAATGTCACATGCTGGGGTGTAAAGTAACACAAAAACTGCATAGTATAATTTTCAGATTTGAACTTTCAACTTTTTGGGCGATATTTGACCTAATTTGCCCAAATTCACATAAATCATGAATTATTTTGATTGCAATTCTGATTCTTCACAGCTTCTAAAATCTATTTTATTTTGAGCCAGCTGAAATGTGGACGTCATTTCATTCCCACCCATAAGAATCCTAACTGCTGCCAAAGACACGGACATCACAGCAGCTTGAAATGGATTTTGATGATGCTTTATTAGTTTAAGAAGCCCTGCACGGTACCTGGGCGCTGATCAGAACTTCTCCTCCACCTCCAGGAATCTTAAATCCTCAGAACAGCTGCTGTAAATCATTTTCTCAATCTTCCTTTGGATAAATCTCATGCCGTCTGTGTTCTCGGTGGGGTTTAGCTGCGCTAAGTGGTCCGAATATTTATTTCATTTTACAAGTTGTTGACCTGTTTGTCTATTTTTTTTCTCTTTACAATTTCATATTTATCGATTTGGCTTGGTGTATTTTTCTGTCCTGCTTTTTGCAAATCTTTGGCTGTTTTTAAAACCATCTGTAGAAACAAACTCGATGTGACTCCGGACAGAAGTTCAGCGGTTCAGTTTCCAGCAGCGTCTCTTAAATCCAACCCCTGACTTCAGATAAAACTATTTAAACACTCGCAGCTTCGCACGCTTCACGCTGCTAATTGCAATTTTAACAGAATTTCACGAAATCGCTGGATCTTTGAAGTGTCTGATTCTCGCCTCTTATCGTCGCTCATTTTGACTTTAATTTGCCTGCAGGCGTGAAGACGTCGGCCGCCGTCATGGCTGCCATGCAGAATCACTTTAGGAACCGGAGCTCCACCTCAGATTAGAGCAGCAGCTGCAGAAGGTGGTGTTTGGATCTTTAAACACTGGACCACAAATCTGGAGGCTTTCACCTGATAATTGCACCATTTTCGTGTTTTTTCAGAGTAAAATGAGTGTAAAATGTGAGGCACTGTGTTGGTTATGTGCTTATTTGTATGATTTACAGCTGTAATCGTATGTAAATGGGTCTTTTGGCTGGAATGTGTGTGAACTAAACCAGCGTTTCCAGTTTTAGCCGTCGACTGGAGTGAGGTTTTACATCTAACAGGTTATTAATACTCTGTAATGTGGGTGAGCAACACTTTAAATAGTCCAGGAGAAGAGATCCAGGTGCTGGTGAGGAGAAAAGTTCACCCACAAAGTCCCACAGCACAAGAAACGAGAAATAAATAACGAATATTAATAATCTGCCGCCTGCGTTGCTGATGGAAAACAAATTTTTCTTTTTGGTATATTTAGCCGAATGAGCTGTTATCTAACTCCCACGACGGGAGAACTCTTCCTCCACATCCTCCTGCACCTCGCAGCCTTCGTCCTTTTTCATTTTTAGGATGCTTTTTATATCCGACGCTTCCAGTCTTGTCTCGGTGAATCAGTTAACTGGACGCCACCAGATGCCAACAGTGGCCAGCCCTGTAGCTGCTGCACACGATGGCACAAAGTGTCAGGAAGCGTAACGTTCATCTGCTGCTCGGGACCAAAAGCAGAGTCTACGGGGGGTTTGGAGCAACGATATTTTATTTTTGAGGGGTTTGAAGCAGGTTGTGGTTGGTTTATTTGCTCTTGTCTCGTTTTTCTCTGCAACATAAAGTCCTGCAGCTCTTGGAAACAACCATGACTAGAAGGAGGGAGAACTCAGAGATGTCTCCTCTCGGAATGACACAAATCCTAAAAACAAATAAGTAGATTTTTTGGTTTTGGTTTTTTTTAAAAAAAAAAAAAAGAGAGAGAGAAACAGAAACAACCCACCCAACATTTTTCCAAGCATCCACAGGTGCTACCATCACTGGTGACTCCACGTACTGTAGATGTTTTACTGTTTTTATTTTGATTTTCCATCCGAGTAAATCCTGCCTGCACTTCAGCTGAGAGTCCCAGAACTGGTCAGTCATTAATAACTTGAGCCAAATAGTGCAGAATTTTTAGTGTTTTACAAATTCTTGGTAGAAATTCTTGGCAAAAAGTAATTTTAACAGAATTTCTCAGATTTTAAACTCAGATTTGGTTAATTTTTGTGACAGAGTAGAACATCGCAGATGATTAGTCTAGTTGGAAAGTTTAAAAACGGATATTTCTTTCTGTTTTTACAATTTCTGACAAATAAATAATGTAAATTTGGCATTAAAAAAAAAAAAAACAGTCCACGTTTTTTAAATTAGCAGACAGGTTTTGGAGTCTGAGTGATGATCAGAATGACAGACGAATAAAACTGCATTTGAAAAAAGGAAATAAATTGGATGCTTAAAACCAACAACAATACCAGAGTTAATAATAAATATCAATACGAGCTGAAAGACTTGAGAATATGTTGATCTGAGGCTCTTTAGTTGTATAAAATCCAAACCAGAGAAGAGCTGAACCATCACGTTGGGTTAAAACCAGAGAAGAGCTGCATTCTGTGATTTTAAAGTTGACTCTGTTCTGAGCGGGGAGATGAAACTCTGACTCATGGTCGTTTTCTGCCCTCACACGCTGGTTTGCATAATCTCCTGATCCTGATGATGAACGGTGAAGCTCTGAGACGATGAGGAGACGTTTCTATGACGCCGGGGGATTCCTGAGTTCACCGTACAGAAAACTTTCGCTGTTTGAAAACAGTTTTTCTCCGTGTGACCGACTCTTCTCGTCTTTCTCTGCAGGATCTGTCCACGGTGTCACCGGTCACTCTTCGTGTGGATCCACATGGATTTTACCTCTACTGGACCGAACAGAGCAAGGTGGACCAACACAGACACATGCACCACACCTTCAGGGTTAGAACAGGATTAAATGAGATGGTACAGTCTGGAGGTAAAAATGGTCCTTCCATCGTCTTGACCCTGTTCTGACCAACCACCATCACACATGCTGAGAGGAGCATGGAAAGTTTACCCAGAATGCACTTCTTAAGGTTTTCTCTGGTGAACGATCAAAATGATCTTTCCAAAAAATACTCAAACTTTGCTCAGAATGACTCAGAAAATGTGTGAAATATGTCAAAATTGTTCAGTATGTTGTCAAACTGAACAAATCTAGTTCACACTGACTCAAAAAATGTCCAAAACTTTCACAAAAATGGCTTTAAAATGTGTGGAAAGGCTCAAAATGTGTCCACAGTTACTTAGAAATTGTCAAAAATGATTCTAAGCCAAGAATAATTCAAGACCATCTCCAAAATAATCCAACATGAGTTCAGACTGACTCATGAATTGTCCACAATGGCTTTAAAATGTGTCAGAATTCACTAAAAATGTGTCAGAACGACATGAAAATGGACTAAATGTAATCCTGCTGAACAGAAACCAGATCCAGTGTTCAGACTGAGACACCTGGATGGATGTAGAACTGATCTGGTGTCAGGTTCTACCAGAACTCAGATGTGTTCTTCCTCCTAAATGTCATGTGTCTGTCTGCTGGACTGATGAAGTTTTGAGGCTCAGAAATGATGGAAGAAGTCCATTAAGGTGATAAATCTGGACCCTCCTCTGTGGACTCCAATGAAAACATCCACAGTGTGAAGGTAGAACTCTGCAGGCTTCATTAAAGTCATTGTAGATGAAGAACCAGTTGGTTCTGGAGTCAGCTGGGAGGCTCTGATTGGTTTCTAATGAGATGTTTGGAGCTAAATTCATCTGTTATTGAGGTTTGACAGGATGTTTATCAACCAGGATTGAAGCATGTTTGGGGTTTGTTCATGCATCTAGTTTTTGTTTTACATATTTTCCTAAGTGGCAGTTTGATCCATTTACCTCCTAATTCAGTGACTGAACCATTTATTTAGAGGAGTGCAGCAGCTTATTATCACCACGACATAGAAGGTATAACTGCTCAGAGTCATGTTAGAAGATGTTTTTTCACATTACAAGCTGATTATGTCAGAAGATAAGAAGCTTCTTCTTATTGAAAAAAAAAATAATTTTCTTGTTCTAACCTTTGATTTGACATTCTTTGACTGAGTTCGTTGCCGGGTGGAGACGTGGGGAGGTTCTGCTGTTAGATATTCTGATAAGTTTCTCTGGAGACTTCAGTGTTTCCGGCTCATCAGAGAGAAATGAGGCTGCCTCCAGAGGGTCGGACTCATCCTTCTCTCTGCACATACATTTTAAAATCCGTCTTTGTGTTTGCATACACATCCAACCCTGGCTCCCCCAAAAATTACATTTCTATGCAAAAAAACACCCACATTCTCCAGCAGATTCTCTCCCTGAGAAGTAAGACGAAGCAGGAAAGGTTTCAACAAAGGAGGCAGGAATCAGCAACAGGAGACCTCGCATTGGGACGTCATTCTTAGTCTTGGTCAGATTTAGGAAAATATCAGAGTTTGGGTGAAAATACAACTGTGACATCTGATATATGACTGGTTGGCTGAAAAGGTGTAACAATAAAGCAGTAAAATAAGCAGCAGAGATGTGATTTGTAAATTAGACTTAGATCTGAACAATCTGGTGGAAAATCCTCAAAACGTAATTGTGAAAACAGTTCAGTTGCACAGGAATGTACAGTCGTGACTCGATAATCGACCCTTAACAATCCTAAACCTGCTATCTGACAGGTTTTTAGGAAAAACCAACAGAACCCATAAAAACAGCCTTAACATAGCGACAGCCTTGGATTCTGACTCCGACATGACATTTAATGTCACCAATCAGGATGACGGCGTATTATCTGACTGAACAATCCCACAGATTGGCTACGTTCACACTGCAGGACTTGATGCTCAATGAGGATTTCTTTGTGACTTCCTTCACGTTTCCAGTTCAATGCGACTTGTATGTGATCTGCTGTGTGAACTTCATACGAGCCAAAAGTGTCCCGCATGCGCAGAAGAGGACACGACGACGTCACACGCAGTATATATATATATATATAGGAAAACTATTCAAATTTGCAGCTCTTGTGTGACGGTAAATGGACTGATCTCTTAGTCTGACTTCAGGTTTGATCCTCTGGTTGCTTATTTTAGCCGCTTTCTTCTCATTTTCTGCATTTGCTGCATGTTCCAGTTTTCAAAGTCGACTTCACTACGAGACACAACCGTCTGGAAACAACCTGCAGATTTAGAGTTCTACAGATGATATAGATTGTGCAGTACAGCAGCCTTGTTGGGTTAATTTGTTAATGTCTTCAAATGTTGCACCAAAACAACCCCAGTCTTCATTATTTTGTGGTAAAGACACATCCTTCATTTAGCTCTGGAAAGGTTAACTGTGATTGGTGTAAAGAAATGCACGAAGGTTTTTGATACCGAGGTGCAGCCAGACGAGTATTCGTTAGAAGAGGAACTGCACGGAAAGCCAAATAAGTTAAAGTGACGTAGCATGATGCTAGTTTTCTGGCCGTGTAGTGACGTGTTCGTGCCGTAAACACACCGAGGACCGCGAATGCAAACGCTCTATAAATATAAGCAGCTCAGGAGGCAGCTGTGGTCATTGATTTCCACTCTCTGTTTCTCTGCAGGTGGGTTTAAATCCTCCACAGGAGGCAGGAGGAGGCCTTTAGCTGCAGATAACGGCTGATTCTGTGTGTTTCTATCAGGACACGGAGCTGCTGGACCTGACCCTGGTGAAGGACGTCAGGACGGGCCGCAGCACCAAAACACCAAAGGTAGCGCCCGTCGACCCGCTGATGTTTTATTCATCCAGTGTGATTTTCTGTTTGCGTTACAGCCTTTATCATCCCTCTACATGAAGTTCTCTACACCTACTCTGTCATTTGTATCCGTGCTTTATTCTGCAGCGATGAGTTTTGATTTCTATTTATCTCCCATCGCGGTAATGCGTTGAGGCTGTCGTTGTTTTATCTTCCCACCTCTGTGGAGGCCTCGGCTTTGCTTTGCCTGAAAAGGTAAATAACAAAGAGTGAGATGTTTTGTTGGGTTGGCAGCAGAATTAACTCCACTGTTCACCTGACTGGCTTCTTTGAATGATTTTGAATCAGGACGAGTGCTGCCTCATTTTTCCTCGCTGTGGTTCGTGTTTCTCTGCAGAATAAAGTCCTGCAGCTCTGTGGGACCAGAACAAGAAGGAGAGAACTCAGAGACGTCTCCTGTTAGCAGTTAGAATCATGAAAAATCTGATATCTGTGATGCTGCACATTCTCAGATTTCAACAAAGCTGAGTTTTGTTAAATATTTTAAGGATTTCATGTGTTTTCAGATCTGGAAACTGATTTAAAATGTGTTGGAATTTCATCCACTGACTAGAAAAGTCAGAGCGCAGCTTCGTCCTGTTGGTTTTTGCTGCTAGAATCAGCTCGAGGAATAAGACACGAGGATTTATCCTCTCACACAAATACTCGCATGTCAAAAAGTCGTATTAAAAAATTCTTTCGCTGTGTGAAGCACAATCTTGTTTTGAACATGCTGACGTGTTTTCATGTCCGTACTGTGTTTTATACAGATTTGGTGGCAGGTTGGAGAGATTTTAGACATTTTAGAGCTCAGATTTAATGAGAGTCAATGGAAGTTTTGGGTGATTTACAAAAAAACAAAACACAAATCTTACAGAAATGAGACTCACACTGAGTGAAAGAGGACAGAAACACTGACATTTATATATATATAATGTTGATGTAATGTAGAAATTGTGAGAAGAAGACGAGTTTAACTGCACTACTTTTTGAAAATTCAGATTTTTTTAAAATACTTCATAAAACTTAAACTGCGTAAAAATCATAAAAGATACCAAAACAGATTTAAACAAATGACAGTCAACGCCTCGTGAATGTTTAAACTTTGAACAAAGCTTCTTCTGTAAAATCTAACAGCTGCAGGGTTCCAAGGACGGCTGATTCTGGCCGCTGTTCGGCCGACTTCCCATTTGTTTCAATGGGGATATCTGACGCAGCTTTTTACAAATTTCAGTAAAACCGTATGACGAATCGCTCCCCAAAGATACGTCACTTCATTCCTGATTGTGCTGCACGTTCTGATATATAATTCAACAATTAATGGGTTTCCTCAAAGCTGTGGGACGAGTTATGTGGTGAAAATTGTTCTGGAAGAATCTATAACAAGAATAAAGGAGAGGAATAGTGAAGTAGTTTAGCTTCCGTGTTGATGAAAAGGCCCATTTAATAAAACTGATCAACCAGTGAATTAAGACTAATTTAAAACCCACTGACCTTCACTTTCGGCAGCATACGTTAGTGCCAGTCAGAGTTATTTTAAAGTTTAATAAACATAATTAAAATTAGATTAAAGATAAATGCTGATAATTGAAGATTTTCAGGACAATTATGACAAAATAAAACTGTTGTGAGCAACACAAAAGATGAAGTTCAAATTTGGCCCGATAAAAAACTGTTGTTTAAGGTTTTTATGTTGAACCACTTGATTTTTCACAGGATGTTTCGTAGTTTAAGTTATTTCCCTCATCCTGACCCGGTCCCGTCCCTCTGACGGACCATCACCTGCCTCCAGGTGCAGCAGGTTTCTCACCTTCACCTGCAGCTGCCGTAGTTTGTCCCAGCATCATATTTCTCACCGGATGTAAACTTTATTTCCGTGACATATTCGTCTGCGTGTCGTCCAATAGGAGGCCAAGCTGCGGGAGTTGCTCGATGTGGGGAACCTGGTCGGTCGGCTGGAGAACCGCATGGTTACCGTGGTTACGGCTTCGGACCTGGTAAACGTCAACCAGCTGATCTTCATCGCTTCACAGGAGGACGAAGCCAAGGTGCTGAACTCGCTGATGATGATGATGATG